ATGGCAGCTGGGTCCTAAGCACTGTCAGATTAGGCTATGCAATCCAGTTCCCCGCCATCCCTTCCCGCCCCTCTTCAGGGACCCTTCTCACAAGGTATTGCTCCTCAAGCAGGTTTGCGGTCCACTGGTTTTGGGAGTGGGGGAGGAGTTCTGCTAGAACACTGGAGTCATAGGTGCTATTCCTGATAGTTTCTGGTGCCCAAATCCAGGGGAGGGTTAAGACCCATTCTCAACCTTCACGGTGTCAACAAAAATATCAGATGCATGAGGTTCAAAATGGTCACTCTATTTACTATCCTTCCCGTGTTGTCTCAGAATGATTGGTTTGTTGCTCTGAACCTTCAGGATGCCTACTTTCATATGGTGATTTTGCCAGGTCACAGAAAATTCCTTCCATTTGTCATAGCAGAGCACCATTTTCAGTATATGATGCTTCCATTTGGATTCTCTTCTGTCCAAATGCATGGTCATCTCAGAAAGAAAGAAATCCCCATCTTCTCATACCTGCATGACTGGTTACTGAGGGACAGGTCCAGAGAGGAAGTTCTTTCTCACTTCGACATTACACTGCACTTCATCAGCCGTCTGGGCAGGGACGGCTCTACCATTTTTGCCGCCCCAAGCGCAAAAAAAAAAAAAAAAAAAAAGCTTCTCAGACTGTGCCACCCCAAGAATGGCCGGAATGCCGCGCTCACGCACGTGCTTCCTCTGCTGGTGCCTGGAGCCGGTCCTGCATCTGGGTGTCATTCTAAACACTGGGAAATCAAATATGGTTCCCACTCAGAAAATAGAGTTCACTGGGGCCCTAGTACACTCAGAGTTTGAGAATGTTTCTGCCAACTAGCCATTTTCAGGTAATTCACCATCTTTACCTCAGTCTCCAGTCTCAGCTTTCCATGGCAGTTTAGATGTGCCTGAGGCTCTTGGGCCACATGTCCACTTGCATGCAGATGGTCCAGTTTGCAGGCTGCACCTTCACCCTCTCCAAATGTGACTTGGGACTATTTACCATCCGACTCTTTACCCCCATCTTTCTCAACTGGTCCTGGACTCCTTGCAGTGGTGGATGTGTTCAGAGAAGGTTTGCCAGGGCGTCCAGTCCTTACTAACCAGGTCTCTTGTCATTGATGCTTCTCTGATGGATTGGGGGGCACATGTGGGGTTGCTGAAAGTTGAAGGTCTGTGGTCGGAGCAGGAGTGCTCACAGCATATCAACATGCTGGAGCATTCAGGGAAGATCTGTCTTTTCCATTGCCATGGTAGCAAGATTCTTAAAAGGGCTTCTTCATCCTCCAGTCTGACAGCTGGTTCCTCTGTGGGACCTTAACACAGTCCTAGCAGCTTTAATGGGACCTCCTTTTGAGCCTCTGGCATTGGGTCCCTTTCCACTGTTGTGGAAAGCGGAGTAATAACATCTGCAAGAAGAGTGTAAGAGTTGCAGGCTCTGATGGCGGAGCCTCCTTGTACACAATTGTCTGAAGACAAAGTGACTTTATGATCACACTCAAAATTTTTGTTTAAAGTGGTCTCTCAGTTTCATTTGAACCAGGCAGTATATTTACCTGTTATTTCCTAAGCCACATTCATCTCATTAGATGTCAAGCGATGTCTAGCCTTCTATCTGGATAGGACTAAGCTGTTTCGGGCTTTGCCTTGCCTGTTTGTGCATATGCAAATCATATGAAGAAGCAAGCCGTCTCTTCACAGACTCTTTAAATGGATAAGATCCTGTACCAAGACTGCATATGAAACAACTTCAGCTATGCCTCCTTAATAGGTATGAGCTCATTCTAAGAGAGCACAAGCTACGTCAATAGTGTTCCTGAGTGACATCTCAATATTGGACAGGGCTGTCATATGGTTGTCCATACATACATTTATTACCATTATGTCATCACTGCATCTTCCAGAGTAGATGCAGGTTTTGGTAGGGAGGTCTTGCAAGCCTTGTTTAGGTAGACTGAGCCCAGCCTCCCAGGGTTCTGCCTGTGAGTCACCTAAGTGAAATACACAGCTGCGTCTACTCAAAGAAGAAATGGCTACCTACTGTAACTATGGTTCTTCAAGATGTGGTGCAGATGTGTATTCCATGACCCACCCTCCATGCCCTCTGCATCAGAGTCTAGTCTCTGGGCATTTGAAGCGAAGAAACTGGGGGGGGGGGCTGTGCCACCTCATATAGCTAAGGGAGGGGCTATGGCCGTGAGGCACAAGCATCGCTCCTCTATGGGTACTGTTAGGCAAAATTATCTGAGCATGCACACACCTAAGTGGAATACACGTCTGCATCACATCTCAAAGAATCACAGTTGCAGTAAGTAACCATTTCATATACAGGTTGGCCACTTTATTTTTGGACCCAGAAGTTTGCCTACTTTTATCTGAATGTGAGGTAAAGAAACTTCAAGGACAAAGTCTTCAGTCTTGCAAATCTGAACAGCAAGAGAGATTTATTCTGTCCACAAACAGTGGATCTTAAAAGTGAATGGGTGGAGTGGGGTCATGGCCACATGCAGTTCCATTGACTTGGTACAGTGTTGCAGATTCACTCAGGAAAAACGATTCTCATCACTAAAGGTACCGTAAGATACCACTATAGTGTGACAAGTGACTTATCAAGGAAAAGGGATGGCTATTTTAGTTTGTGATAAGACTGACTGACACGCTACTAAAATATGAATTCCTGGAATAAATAAGGGGATGGCAACCTCATATTTAGTCAAGAAAGCAAAAGCCTGTAGTAAGAGAAAAACTAAATATAGGTAGTGCTGTCTTCTGCCTGCTAGGTGCTGAATGCCCTCAACTCCCACTGGGAGTTCTCCATCTTGCAGGAACTGTCCCTGTACAAGTTAATTTTTAACCTATTCTTATGACATCTTCCAGGAACCAAATGTCCCAAAGCTCTGTAGTGATCCTCTCTATATAGTTATTCTATTTTAGTGGGCCTGGACCTTAAATGCAAAACTGGATATTCTGTCAGGTCACTAACAGCCAATGAGATTTCTCATAGTAAATAAGAACCTCATTGACCGATAGATTTGAACCCACCTTACACTCTTTCATTGTACCTCTTTCTGTCTGCTCTATTCTAGAGGAATAATTTTAATTTGGCCGTTCCTAGCAACCCAGAAAGCCATGGGTGAAAGTAGCCCAATGTTACAACTACCCGCAGTTGGTTATTACTGTTATTTAGCATTAGTATGTAATTCCTTTCATGGGCAAAGCATATAAAGATCTGGTGGCTTAAAAAGCTTTCTGCAGTTGCCAGAATCTCAATCTTTACGATACTACTAAACATGGCCATAATCATTTTCATAGAAAGAGACCCTGCACTAATTCACATCTCTCTCTACTCCTTATGAACAATTTCCCTTTTTGTTTCTCGAGGTTAAAGCACAAAATCAGGAGCCAGGAGATCAGGGTTCTAAATTCCTACCTCTATCCTAACTTGCTTTGTGTGACACTGGCCATGTCACTCAATGTCTCTGTGTCTCAGTTTCTCTGTCGTAAAATTGGGATAATAATACTTCCATGTCTGAGCCATGTTTTTCTACATTTGAGTGAGAATGGATTTTTAATGCAAGGAAGCAAAATTAGGAACTTAACATTGCAGACTAATTTCATTTAAATTTGCCTTACTGGGCCAAAATTTACAGATTTAGTCTGACTCTAGTATAACCTAGGCCAGGTTATACTGGAGTCAGGACCCCTACAACTACAACACCGTGAAAGTTTAGATTTAAATAGGTGAAATCATTAAATTTATGATTTTTAAAATCCTATGACCATGAAATTGGTAGGGCCCTACCTATGGTGCTGCAGCTGTGGCACTGTAATGCCGGAGCGTAGGCACTTCCTACATGGATGGAAGAGGTTTTTCCATTGATATAGTTAATCCACCTTTCCAAGAGGTGGTAGCTAAGTCAACAGAAAAATTCTTCCAGCAACCTTAGGAATCTTCTTGCTTCACCAGTGATGCCAACCTAAATGTTCCATTTTCCCCACAACCATCTCCAAGCCTTTTCAGTATAGCTCCTCATGCATAGAGGCCAGTATTTTCAGACTTGGATGCCTGAAGTTGATCCATAGACTAACCAGGAACTGCAGGTGCTTAGTACCTCTGAAAAATCAATGTCCTCTTCGTTTTGTTCCAGTCCAAATCCCTCCTAAAGACTCACTTTTTCTGCAGTGCCCAGAAGACATGACTTAGCAATAATAATTTTTAAATGCTTGTCAGTCCCTCTTCTGTGCCTCCCAGTGTGTCTTGTCTTCTCTGTCTTATTTAGGGCTTGTCTACACTTACCGGGGGATCAACGAGCGGCGATTGATGCAGCGGCAGTCGATTTAGCAGGTCTAGTGAAGACCCGCTAAATATAACACAGATCGCTCTCCCATCAACTCCTGTACTCCACTGTATCGAGAAGAATAAGGGGAGTTGACGGGACGGTGTCTCCCATCGACATTGCGTAGTGTGGACCCTGCAGTAAGTAGACCTCAGCTACGTCGATCTGAGTTCCTCTGTTAACGTAACTCAAATTGCGTAGCTTAGATTGACTTTTCACATTAGTGTGGACAAGGGCAAGGCCTTAGAATGTAAGCTTTTTTGGTGCTGGGACTGGACTGTTCTGTCTTGTACAACATCAAGCACATGAGTGGTGCTTTAGTAACAAGGAAATTGATACCAGGATGTGCATGCAGCCTAAAGCAGTGCTAAGAAAAGAATTATATACCTTTTTTATTTAAAGTCCCATCTTAGGCCCTCCCGTCACACACACACAGCTGATGCTGGTATATAGAACTCTTTTTACATCCTTAATTATTTCAATGGAAAACCCACAAGAATTGGAGCTGAAAACTGTATTCAGAATTGCAACAAAGCCATCTTTTTCCTATTGTTCTAGACTTGTATTATTACCCCAAGTGCTGTGCTGTTTATGTTGTCCTGATCACTGGCCATCACTCACCCCTGTAAGTTTGAGTTGAGACACCAAAAGACATACCATGAGCAGCTGCAACAACAGCACCAACAAAAGCAGCAGGCATTGGAAGCTCGATTCCCAATGCCATGCTGTGCCTGTGTGGAACTTGGTGTCTCCTGGGCCACAGACATCTGCCGTTTGCGCATTTCCATCCGCTCCGATCCCATGGGCTGAAAAAACCAAAATAAGGGGAAAAAATTAACCTCTGCACAAAAGACTCACTAGGTATCATTAAGGCCAGATTTTCAAAAGAACTCGGAATCTGATGGCTCCCGCTGTTCTTTTTGGAAGCTGCTGGGAAAATTCGCTGCTTCGTTGAGGTTCTGTGACAAGGTGTAAAGTCCCTTCAAAATGTAAGGGGTTAATAGATTCCTCCCTATAACATGACTGATTTGGGTGGAAAGTGGAAGTGGGTTCAAAGAAGGTTATCATGGGGGTCGTTTATGTTCTCTCTTCTCTCAGCTAGCTATAGTTGGAAAGCTCCCAGTGGTTATTTTCCAGTGTTGCTAATTTGTTGTGCGTTTGAATTTTGTTTTTGGAAATAAAGCCAGTTCTAAGGAAAAAAGGGTGAAGTGACCTATAGTTTGGGCTTTGATTCTTCCTCCTTTCTTTCCCCAGCTGGTGAGTCTGTGCACTGGCTTAGAGGTGTGTAAATGGGAGATGAATTTTTTTAAGAATTTGGGCTCCATTGTCGGTGTTGAAAAATTTAGAAAATCTGTTCCTTAGGCCACCGTAAAGGGGAAAGGCTAGGATCTGATTGACTATCATGAGTCTGACTCTGTGTTCCTTTAACATAGATTTTCGTTCAAGCAAGATTCAGAGTCTTCATGGTTTGGGGAGGAAATTACTTTCCTGCCGAGGAGATACAGACATGGGCCAGGCAACTTTAAGATTTAAGCAGTCTATTCCCATCATAACCATAGTTCATAGTGGGGACAGCATGGGATGCCTCTAGATTGTTCTAGGAAAACTGTTTGGTTCCCTAAGCCTGCAAACATGTCTGTACATGAGCAATTTTAAACGTGTGACTAATCCGTCTGGAGTCAATGCAATTTCTCATGTAAGTATGTAACTTTCTGTGAGCCCTTTCTGTGAGCTTGAACTTATGGTTGGCAGAATTTGGTGTGTGTGCTCCCTGTGAATGACTTGCTGCCTATTGACCTATACCCTACATGTTGACTTCGTTACATTGATGAAATATCAAATCCTAAAGGGACAAGTGCACCTTACTTCATTATGATTTTAGATGAATTTTGGATACTTAGCTATTCTTCCTCCTATGAAAAGTGATACTTTTTGGTATTGTTCATTGTAGGTTGCTAAACCTCCTTGAGTCCATCAAAATTGCAGAGGAGTTCAAATACCATTAACAATGGCAGATTTTGGGGAGTTGATCATTGTGATTCAATAACTGGTATGAGATGTTATCTGATGAGCTGGAGAGCATCATGTTAAAATCATCTCTCTCTCTCTCTCTCCCCCCCCCCACCCCCCCACCCCCGTGTTCAGATATATTTATGCAGGACTATGGTGGCAAGAAAGGTGCTCAATCCATATGCAGCAGGCATTGCTACAAAAACTACAAAATCATGTATATAAAAGAGTGCAGGTTATTCCAACTCAACGCAGCATTAATTCACGATCAATGCTTTTTCTGATGTTCCTTTTACTGATGGTATTATATAGGTTAGTATTATTTTTGTTTTGTTTTTTGGCTAGAATCATCCCCTTGTCCAAGGGAAAATGTGTATGTCATGCACAGCAGCAGAGGCACCTATTTTGTAGGATAACATCAGACCAGCATAGCTAGTAGATAATGTTTTCACCCCTCAGCTCACAGAGAGCCGAGAAGCGATAGGGAGAAAACACACAAAATGATGCCCCATTATGGATCTGCTCCCTTTGACAACCAGTCCCTAAATGACCAAAAATCTAAAACATAAGCAAGAACATTACTTCCCAAAATGCCAGCTTGATAATTTTAAAGTATGAAAGAATAAATATGAAAAGGAAAATACACCTGTACATTCTTATTTCTTTATTGCTTAGATTTCAAGTTCATTACAGTAGAAGGAAATACTGAATATTTTCAGCTTTCTTCTCAGTACCTATTTTTGAAAAACAAAGCATGTTTGTGCTTACAATAAAAAGTAATTATAAACAAAACATTACAGGAGACAATAGTATATCTGACGTATTCCCAGCTCCTGGTAGGGAGTAAACATTTTCTTATTATCAATTAGAAAAGTTTAATTTATAATTGGAATCAAATGAGTGCTATTTATATAATTCATCCAGCTTTGTTTAGTAGATGTTTTATGTGGCTTCTGTGCACATAAATACCTCTAACCCACTTTACAACTGAATTGATATATGATCTGATTAGGAGAGCTAGTTTTCTGTTTTGTTTTTTGTGTTTGGAGGGGGAAGGGCATAGGAGAAAGAGGTGAATAAGTCAATGTACCTATTCACCCACCCCAAATATCTCCTATTTCAAAGAATCCTTATTTGGATCTATTATTATATTTATAAAATTATAATTTTAGATTTTTACTATTTTAGATTTATTATCCTTTCAGATTAATTTCTTTTGCAAGATATTCTCTGGTATACTTCAGTGTGAGGGAGGAGCATGTAAGCATCTCTGTAGCAAATGCCTCCTCGCACCCCCCCTCCCAATAGTGTTTTGTTTATAATGTAGCTTGTGAAGTGCTCACTCTAACAAAGGATATTTGGAAGCTGTAGAGCTTTATGAATGTAAAGCCAATATTCATCCTATGTGATTTATATCCCAGTTTATAGTTTATGAAGGGTTGAGGAGGAAAAAAATAAAGGTACAATTTGGCATCTCATTTAAGCTCTATGCTTCATTAGCAGATGTACACATTGAAACATTAGCTTCCCCTTTAAATATGAAGTAATTTTCTTGCTCAGACTTAAACGATGATTTTGGTAAATATTTCTAAATGACAACAAACCTTTTTAAGATGTCACAAAAGTGTTTAAAAAGTATGTGGAGACCAAAAATAGAAGTTCCTGCAAGAATGTATCTATTGGTTTAAAGATGACTAGTCCAAAGCAGTTACTTTGTTTTACGGAAAGTCCAATGAATAGTGCATCTGCAGCTCTTTTGGGAATCAACAGCAGTTGTGTGCATGCAAATGACAAGATGATTGGGTCTCTTAATATTTTTAACACCACTTTGGTTTTAGAAATGAACTGAACTATAATAAAGCAGGTGGCATTATACATCACTTCATTCACGCTTACTTTGGTCACTAAAGCATTCTAAATACACGCAGGGAGCAGATCTCTTAAATTAAAGCTGTTTTTCATAGTCACACCTCTGAGCAGAGCCTCACTGTAAAATAAAATGCCTACCTCTCCATTATCACAATATTATTATTAGTCTGTGTTATAGTAGTGCTTAGAGGCTTAAACTGAGATTGGGCCCCATTGTGTTCAGGGCTATACAAACACAGTAAAAGACCGTCCCTGCCCCCAAAGAGCTTACAATCTATGGTCGAGGGAGGGAGGCTGAAGGGGAAACTGAGGCAGAGAGAGATGATGTGACTTGTCCAAAGACACACAGCAAGTAAATGGGAGAGCTAGGAATAGACTCCAGGGAGGAAATCCTGGCTCCATTAGTCAATGGAAGCTTTATGATTGATTTCAATGGAGCCAGGATTTCACCTTATTTTCTGGACCATGCTGATTCTGACTATTATCCCAGTGACAATCTGACCCTTTTGAGATAGAGCAACAGTTATGATTCCAAGCCACATCAACCTCAGAATGCCTGGATCAGGTCTGTGGCCATTTGCTGTATTGTTTTCAGAGAAAAGTTGATTTTATATAGGGTCTCGGTTACCATGGTGTTAGGGCCAAGATAGATATATCAGTTGTTCCACCAAGTATTGTATGTAGGAATCTACAAAAGAAAGTCAAACTTTCTATTCTATGTGTAAATGTCAGTGTTAGCAATGGGCCAGAGACACAATCTTACATATGGACACCTTACATTTTGAAGAACTTTGACTCTGAATCTGAATGCAAAAGCTCAAACCTATCTTGAATCTGATTTAGTAGCATTTTACACCCAGTTTGCACTGGAGTAAATGACCACACAAAGTGCAAGGCATAGGAGAATTAGGTCCTTCATTTCTTCTTCAAACTCCTCTGCTCTGCTGATTCAAAAGAGCAGGTATCTCACTTTAGGGAGGGGAAAAAATGTGTGCCCCACTATACTCCTTCTTCAAAGCTCAATCAGCCATATAAAATGTATAAGTCTTTCAGGTCAAACAAATGCTGTTAGCTCCTCAGCTGACTCTGGTGGAGCTGTTCTGACTTACACCAACTGAGAATCTGACTCACTCGTGCTAAAGCATCACTAATGTGATTACTGAGAGATGTGGTATCTATTACTGAGAGGGCAGTCTTAGTGAATGACCTTATTTACAAGCAGTTATCACTTTTTGAAAGAGTTACGCTTTGGGTTGAAATTCATGCCAAAAGTGCAGAGGCAGCTGGAATCTTGTTTTAAAATTCCCTTTGGTCTTTTTTAGTTTATTCAAGGGGTGGGGTAGCTCTCTTGTGCTCCTACTGTTCAAAAATGCTTATGTAATGCCAGCATCATGTTTTCTGTGGCCTTAGTCATCACTGAGCATAACAGTCTCTGACATATTTGAAGTTCTTTTGACAAATAAGATAATAAGGGGGCAATTCTCAGTTCCAGCCTGGCTTTTTGGCAGGATAAAACATAAATGGGGTAAAATAATCCCTGGTGATGTGATGTAGAGCTTCCCCCTCCCTCATCCTCAGCATGGCCAGGGGAGAGGGTGTGTAGCAAGAGTTCACTGCATTCCACCTATTTTCTGTTGCAGCAGTCTAAATTAGAGCAGCCCTGAGGCTGCTCTAGCCTATGCTGGGGACAGAATCACTCCCTGGATAGCCCTCAATACAGATTTTAAGGTGAGAAGGGACAGTTATGCTCATCTAGTGTAATGGAAGCCATGGAATTTTACTCAATCATTCCTACATCTAACTTGTAATTAAACTAGAGCATTGTTGAAGCCACAGCTGATTGTCCAAGTTTCTGCACTGAGCAGAACTCCTACAGAATGGAGAGCTGGGCTCAAGTGTTTGAAAATCGCATAGTGTGCCTACACAG